CCATATACAAATAAAAACCATATACAAATATCTTGTGTCAAACCATTATATAATTGTGGGTATACATATTCTCCCTTGATACCTGTTCAGTCTGTATATCAAGCCTAGACTTTAAATACTGAAGGATTCCATGGGTAAAATGTTGAATGACACAGAAAGCATCAAATGATGATGGAAGGAATACGTAGAGCCACTGTATCAAAAACAAATGGTCAACGAATGCTCAACCATTTCAAGAGGTTGAGGTTGTAGTCATAGAGCTCAACCACAGACATACCCTCCTCAACCCCACCCCATTTGGGTCAGAGAAATTACCAGCTGCTACATACCGGATAATCGACAACAACCAACATCAGCTAAATTCAGCCAGAGCTGAACTTCATAAATATCAGAGAATGGTGCACAATCACACCCACCAGAAGACCATTGGTGAGTGCCTAAGAATATACCAACATACATTCACCAATTTAATACAAATATAATGATACCACAGGGCCTCAAAAGGAATAGACAATCTCTGTTTACATAAATAAAACAAACAAAAAAATAGAGTCATTCAAATTACCAAAAGGCCAAGCTAGAAAATATTTTTGAGGAAAAAGAAGTGCTGGAACTACCTGAAAAAGAATTCAGGAAAGTGATATTTTGGTACCTCTAAACTACTGATGGGACCCCTGGGGTGGTGCTGTGGGTTAATACATCAGCCTGCAAAGCTGTTTGAACTGCAAGGTTGGCAGTTCAAGCTCACCAGCTGCTTCGCAGAAACCCTATACAGGGTTGCTATGGGTCAGAATCGACTCAATGGCACATAACAACAACAACAACAATAAAATATTGACAGAAAGGTCAAGGAAACAAAGAAGAACTCAGATAAAGTTCTATAGGAACAATCAAACAAAACAGATAAAGGGTTGGAGAAAATAAAAATCCTGCAAACAGAAGTTCAGAATATTAATACTAAGATATCAGATACAGACAAAGGAACAGATTTGAATCAACGGAAGACTGAATTACTGAACTGAAAGATAAGTCTCCCAATACTAATAAGTTAGAAGAACAATCAGAAAGAAGAATGAAAAAATAAGAAGAAAACCTGTAAGATTCATGAAGAGGAATAAACTATGGGTGACTGAAATTCCAGAACAGGAAGAGACAAAGAAATGACAGAAAAGACAAAGGGCTGCTGGAAGAAAGTTTCCCTTACTTTATGAAAGACAAGAAAATAAGCATTCAAGCAGCTGAATGAATCCCAGGTGGGATAGACGCCAAAAGAAAATCACCAAGACATTCATAAACTTTACAAAATCAAAGACAAGGAAAGAATCCTGAAAGCCTCTCAGAAAACACAAATGTCACCTACAAAGAAAAATCAAAAAGATTAAGGTCTGATTTCTCAGCTGAAACCATGCTGCCAAGAAGGCAATGGGGAGGCATATACAAAACTCTGAAAGATATGAAGTGCCAACGAAAAATACCCAGCAAAGCTGTCCATCAAAAATGATGGCAGAATTAGACTATTTCTGGATAAACAGAAATTAAAGATATTGAAAAATCCAAGCCCAAACTCAAAAATGTTCTAAAGGGAGTTCTTTGGACTGAGAACCAACAAACAACCAGAGACTGACGTACATGACCAGGCATTCCATCCAGATAAGGAAGTGTTCAGAGTAGAACAAAACTACAAGACTGAAAATAGGGAATCTGAGATATCAGTCTATGATCAGGACAACTACAAAGTGAAGGGAGAGAAGAGTATGGTTACAGAGTTCCAGATGGTGAGGAGGTCAGGTAGATTTTAAGATAAAACAGACTGTTTTAAAATGAGGAAGAAATTAATAAAGTACAGGGTAATCTCAGAGACACTTCATATACCCTCACATCAACTAAAGGAAAATCCATGAAGATTTTTGAGACATTAAAACTATGAAGAAACTGACAAGTAAAAGCACACACGCAAATACGAATTCAGCACAGGAAAGCATGCAGAAAACAAAGAAACCAGCAGAACAAAAACAAAAAATTGAAAAATGACTGCAATCAAGTTATACCTATCAATAATCACACTGAATGTCAATGAAATAAATGTACCAGTCAAGAGACAGAGACTAGCAGAATATATAAGAAAACAGTATCCGTTAATATTCTGTCTAAAGGAGGCATACCTTATACACAAAGACAAAAATAGATTCAAATTAAAAGAAGAAAAAATATATCAAGCTAATTGCAATAAAAATGAGAAGAACTGGCAATATTTATCTCTAATAAAACAAACTTAAAGGCAAGAAAACCAGTATTAGAGACAAAGAAGGACACTATCTCATGCTTAAAGAGTCAATTGAACAAAAGGACATAGCCTTAATAAATATCTATGCTCCCAGAAAAAAAGCCTCAAATCAAATTCTAACAGAATTGATAAAAGTCAACTATACAATAATAGTAGGAAATTTTAGTATGCCACTTTCAAAAAAGGACAGAACAACCAGAAAGAAGCTCAACAAAAACACAGAGGCACGAAACAACACAATCAATCAACTTGACCTCATAGATTTATACAGAGCATTCATCCCAGCAACAGCACAATACACATCGTTTTCCAGTACACATGGAACATTCTCCAGAATAGACCATTTGTTCGGCTACAAAGCAGGCCTCAATAAATTTTAAAAGGTCAAAATACTATAAAGGATTTTCTCTGATCACAACACTATAAAATTAGAAAACAATAGGAAGATCAAGAAAATAAAATCAAATACATTAAAAGTAGGGGTAAATCCTGCTTAAAAGCTACTGGGTAATAGAAACCAATTAAAAAATTAAATTTTAAAAATTCCTAGAAATAAATGAGAATGAGAGCACAACATAGCAAAATCTTTGGAACACAGCAAAAGCAGAGCTGAGAGGGCAATTTATAGTAATAAACACACACTTCCAAAAGGGAAGAAAAAACCAAGATCGACACATTAACACAATATTTCCCATAGAAAAAGAACAGCAAAGTAAGCCTGCAGTTACCAGAACAAAAGAAGTAATAAAGGTTAGAGCAGTCATAAATGAATTAGAAAACAGAAAAAAAAATAGAAAGAATCAAGACAAGGAGCTAGCTTTTTGAAAGGATTAATAAATTTGACAAACCATTGACAAATCTAACAAAAGAAAAGAGTGAGAAGAGGAAAATAAAACACATAAGAAATCATATGAGTGGCATCACAACAGAACCAACAGAATTTTTTTAAATGATAATAACAGAATACTGTGAAGAGTTATACTCTCTAACAAATTTGAAAACCTAAAGGAAATGGACACATTTTTAGAAAAACACATCCTAACTGAACTAACTCAGAGTGAAGTAGAAATCGTGAACAGATCTATAACAAAAGAAGAAATTGATCATGTCATTAAAAGACTCCCAACAAAAACAAGTCCAGAGCCAGATAGATTTACTGGTGAATTTTACCAAACATTCAGAGAAAAACTAACACCCATTTTACTCAAACTATTCCAGAATATAGAAAAGAATGGAAAACTTCTGAATACATTCAATAAAGCTAGCATAACCCTCTTACCAAAACTAGGCAAAGCCATTACTAAAAAAGAAAATTATACACCAACATCCCTCATGAACACAGATGTAAAAATTCTCAACAAAATTCTAGCCAGTAGAATTCAACAACATATAAAGAATACATCGTGTACAATGGGGTTTCATTCCAGGTATGCAAGGATGGTTCAATATTAGAAAAACAATCAATATAATTCTTCATATAATTAAGAAAGGAAAAGAACCACATGATTATACGGATTGATGCAGAAAAA